ATTAATATTCCAGATGGTTTGCAATCTTAGTTCACAATCCATTAGGGTGCTCTCTACTTAATTCGAGCTTAAAAAGCATTACTTGTCATAATCACAATCCGCAATTGTGTAATACAACAAGTATTTTATTTAAAACACCCTTCTGCAAGTGTCGCAACAATAAAATACGTTCAAATTCCAACTAAAAGTTAATTTAGAAAATGTTCGAAACGGGTATTGTGCATTTCCCCAAAACTGCATACCAGGTGCAGTGTCTAGATTCAAGCAACGGGCCTTTAAATATTCCAATACACCCCCTCCCCTACCTGCAGACGGCGCAAATTGATTTCCCCCCTCTCAATGCACGCAGGCCCATCACGGCCGGTATATTTGTACATCAGTTGACCATTTTAATAAGGTCGCCCATATTGTCAAGATCAAACATTGATGTTGATTAGATTTTAATGAGATTTCAGTAAATTGTTTCGTTTTGTCGCATTATTTGGCAGTGACACTGGGAAATGAGTTTTGCATGCGATTAATTGTGTGACATTCAAAATGTAATACTCTGAAACAAGTTTGAATCTCAAATGTGTATTTGATAAAAAAAACTAATTTACTGCCTATTCAAACATCAGAGAAACTAATGTAACACTTATAAATAAATGATTATTTTATTTTGTTAGTGAAATTATTATTTGATATTCTCTAAATAAAGGTGTTATCATCAGCATTATACATGTTAGGGGCTTTTACACGGATAAATAAATAAGTTTTTTGACGCTACTCAGATTGCAATTTTTTGCTGAATTAGACACATATTAACAACCGGGTCCCTTTGACACTACTCAGATTGCAATTGTTTGCTGAATTAGACACATATTAATTAATAACCGGGTCCCTTTGACACTACTCAGATTGCAATTGTTTGCTGAATTAGACACATATTAATTAATAACCGGGTCCCTTTGACACTACTCAGATTGCAATTGTTTGCTGAATTAGACACATGTTAGCAACCGGGTCCCTTGACACTACTCAGATTGCAATTTTTTGCTGAATTAGACACATATTAACAACCGGGTCCCTTTGACACTACTCAGATTGCAATTGTTTGCTGAATTAGACACATATTAATAACCGGGTCCCTTGAACACTACTCAGATTGCAATTGTTTGCTGAATTAGACACATGTTAGCAACCGGGTCCCTTGACACTACTCAGATTGCAATTTTTTGCTGAATTAGACACATATTCGCAACCAGGTTCCTTCACTAAATATATCTATATTCTTTAGAAATCACACCGCCATACCTGAAGAGGTAACGACACTATTTTATTCCGGAAGAATTTGAGTTTAACAGCGTTTTCTGCGTGTACACCCTAGTTTCACAAACCTGCCAAGCCGGTACAGCTAAGCTATACATTGATACAGATTCACATGAGTTTTGTCAAATTGCTAAGAAGCGAGGCCACAATAAATTTAGCTACACATCGATGCAGATTGCCTAAGGGTTTTTTGCTGAGCAACGAGACCATAATATTTAGCCAAGCTATACGGCGATACAGATTCAAAAATTGCAGAGTAACAAAACCACAATATATTTAGCTAACAAATCTACTCAGATAGAGAAAACCAACGGAGAAAAGGCGGGAAAAGACCACCTGTAGAACAAAGTGGAGCCGCGACCGCGGGCTGGCGCGAACAGGGAGGTAGAGGGGGTATCAGTGGTTGTGGCGGGGAAAAGGAGAGTTTAATGAGTTTTAAAACATCACTAATGAACGAGCGGTCTACATCAATTAATAGAGGGTTGCGGGGCCTTCTCTCTTACAGACGGGGTTTTCTCCAAAAAGCGTTTATCCCTTAACGGGATATTGTTGCTGTCTGAGATAGACATGAATAAAATATTCATGGCTCAGAGATATTTTCCGATATTCATTTAAATTGCACTGTTTAAATATTAGAAAACTGTTTTGTGCTCATTTAAGTTCTAGTTATTTAATTATAGCAATGTAAGACTGAAAACGTTTTCAAATTCCAAATGGATACTTTCGTAATTGACTTGTGTTCAGAGGTTTGAAAGTGAAGTATTGGGCGAGTGATATGCAAGGCGTGACCATTGTAATTGGTCCATTCATAAATTTATCAAAAACTGTAAGTAGTCTAATGGAGGCAGTAAATATCATTAGGTAAAACAATAATATATTAACTCACCAAAACGAAACACTGCTCTTAAATCATGTCTTACCTGTAAAAAGCAAAACATGAAATTAATACTTGCTTAAAACATGTTCGGCTTAAATTAGAAATCTTTCTATATAGACATAGGATTCGCAATACGACAATACATTTAATCACATTCTTTACCAGACGTGTATCAATTAAAATCCATATACAATCTAACTTAAGTACTACAAGGGTATCTATTAATATATATATATATATATAAGCTGATTAAAGGGTGGGCTTAGTATAGACGTAGCTCTGGTATGCTTTGTAGCCTTAGTTGCTTCAGTGTGTATGGTATTTATCTTTCAAATCCAATCTGTAAAGATATATGTAGCGATTGGTGTTAAGCGGTATTGCTGTAAAGCTAAGGAGCTGTAAGGATGTGCAGATAATAGAGCCTTGTAGTTACATAAATACAGTATGTAGCTTTAAACCTTTAAAACTGTAAAGCTGCCACTATAAGGCTGTCTGACTGTATAGCTGAGGAGCTGTAAGGGTGTGTTTCTGAAATCTATTAAGCTGTGTACCTGTAAAACTGGGTAAATTTAAACCTGGCAGGTATAAAAGTAAGTAGTTGTAAAGACGCGTGGCGGGTTGTGTAGCAGTAAAGCGGTGTAGCTGTAAAACCGTGCTGCTGTAAAGCTGCGTAGCTGTAAAGATGTGCTGTTGTAAAGCGGTGCTGCTGTAAAGCTGTGCTGTCGTAAAACTTTGCTGATGTAAAGCTCTGCGGCTGTAAAGCTGTGCAGCTGTAAAGCGGTGTAGCTGTAATGGTGTGTGGTAAAGCTGTGCTACTGTAAAGCTGTGTAGCTGTTTCACACTATCGCGAGTTACGCCCCGCTGCACCCCAGCGGTGACAAAGAACAAAAGTCGATCCCTGCTACTGATAGCTCTCCTGGCCCGGCGTTTCATTCTCTCATTTTCTCTCACGGGAGGAAATTATATTTCTAGGTTTTCGTTAAAATTCCTGCTATTTCAGTCTCCTAAAGTAAACGACGAGTTTTAATTCCACTACAGGAAAATTACTGATGGATATAGTATGTTTGTTGAGATAAAAATCTTTATTCGCATTTAAAATTAAGCTGTTTGCACTTTCAAAGCATAAACAAAATGTTTACAGACACCGATTCTGTTAAATAAAGGGAGATGAATGTATCATAATTCACCTTACTTTGTCATTTAACCACATAAATGTTATTTTTCGCCTAAATGACTGACAGCGTTTTTGTCATTTTGTGTTTTCAACATGGTCATCATAATCCAAAATATTAATTAAATTGATGTAGGTACATGAACTGTTACTAAATAATTGCATTGCAATATAAACATGTACTATTACTGCTGGTTTGAGAAGTAAGTCCATGTTTTGTATAACAAAATTTGACTAAATTACTCTGAAGAAGGTAAACAAAACATTTTATTTTCAATGCCTATTGGAGATTGCAAGACCTTTAATTAAAAGGGATTATACAGAAAAACAAAGCTCGTTCTACACGGGAAACTCAATTTGGAATAATCCCTCTCGTATTCAAAGCTAACAAATATTATTGGACAGTTAGAGAGAGACAGGATGATGTTGAGAAGGAGGGGGGGTGGCAGAGCCAGAGAGGATGTACAGGGTGACACAAAGGAACCGGACGTTTTTTAAACAGCTGTTCCATTGTTGTTGCACGTGGTAGGAAGATTGAAGATATGTCATTACCTTCAGTGAGGCTTGCCATTTTTGTTGAAATGGCTCAGTGGACCCTAGACCATCGCGTTTTCGCATACAATACTTTAGTCCAAAATGGCGAATCCATCGTCAAATCCAGCGGGAATTTAGTCGACATTTTAATATTGAACGCCATGGAACGGTTCCAAGCCGAAATACGCTTTTAAGATGGGTTTCAGGGTTCCGAACAACTGGGAATATAACAAGAAAGCAACCACCAGGCCTTGTTAGAGCTTCGAGAACACCCGAAAACATCGCCAGAGTAAGAGTGAATTGAATGAATGTTTCCTAACAAGGTGATTTCTCGCTTTGGTGACATGCCGTGGCCGCCAAGATCATCTGGCTTGTCCACTAGTGATTATATCTTTTGAGGGTTTCTTAAGGAGCGTGTTCATGCTCACAAACCACGCACTCTAGAGGATTTGAAGCTTACAACCACAGAAGATATCAATGGCATTCAACCTCCTGACCCGAGTTTCAGAGGATTTTCAGACCAGAATTCACATTTGTAGATAAGTACATGGCCGCCGTATGCATGACGTCATTTTAAAAAAATGACGGTTTTGTAACAAATGGCAAATGTTTACCTTACTATGTACAATATTAAAACCAGTTTATTCCTTTTAACTACTGTGTACTACTTATTTAAAAAACGTCCGGTTCCTTTGTGTCACCCTTTATATGGTGGAGGGGGAAGCTATACGTCTGGATTTACTTGGGCGATACATCCTCTAGCGCGATTCAAACTGGCCCTCAAATGACTCCACGAGCTTAAGCTTATAAATTACATTGTTACACGATCATGTGCCGTTTTAATAGAACATAACCTTTGTAGGCCTACATGCAATAAACTTATGATTGAGCTAGTCTCTTTCTACTCTATATAATAAAATACTAATATGAGATTGTAGTTAATTGTATTATCACTTTGTTTAATGCGATTTTTGTATCATTTTCAGAAAAATGACGAGAAAGGCTGAACATATTTTCCAAGGAACCAGTAGGTAAGCGTCACACTAAATTCTAAAACATAAAATTCCACTTACAAAAAAAACACAACCAATTTCCTGTGATGCAACGAACATGATAAGAAAGAAGAAATGCCTTAGAAAAGTGCGGAAATATGAGTGACCGCGAGTGGACGTGGTCCAACGACTCGTCTACAAGTGCGGTGGTGGGGGGAGATAATTCGACCAATCGCGGCGCGGCGGAGTGGGGGCTAGCCAATAGAGTGGTGACTAGTGCAGTGCTGGTGGGGGGAGAGGAGTGGCCAGTGTTTAATTCGACCAATCGTGTGGTGTCTGAGTGGGGGCCGACCAACCAGGAGGGCGACAACTGGTGGGGACTACTAGCTCTGGCTTTGGTCTTCGGAACAGCAGCAGGCAACATTCTGGTCTGTCTGGCAATCTCCTGGGAGAGGCGACTCCAAAACGTCACCAATTACTTCCTGATGAGCTTGGCCATCACTGACCTGATGGTGGCCGTCCTAGTAATGCCTTTGGGGATCCTCACACTCGTCCGGGGTAAGCACTAATAAATGTTCAGCCCCTGTTTATGTTTATTTCCTTTCACCTAGTCCTACATTAGCACGTACGATTATATTTTTATGTCTACATGTAATTTAATTTTTTTGTTAACGTTAACAACAAATTTTAATCAATAAACATTGTATGCCTTTATAAATCTAAATAAAAATATGCTTGAATTACGCAAAAGTCACGCAGATTTACAATAGGATTTAGCATTTTGTGACTAGTTCTAAGGCTCCCCTAACCGATATCATTAACTTCTACATTGTTGGGAAGGACGAGGCTTTAATTGCTTATTCGTATTCATGAGGTGGGAAGCAATACCGTATCCAAGCTGTCCTTGAGTTGTGGGTTGCATTATGCAACTGTCCAGGATATTATTTTGTAAAACCCACCTAGTGGGATGCGGTGCTTTATATCGAATCATCGAATACTAAAGTAATTAGTATTCAGAGTAATTATATTTTCATCCAGAGAAGTAATCAAAATCCTGTCAGAATGTACGTGCTAACAAAAACCAGGCAGTAATATAAATGCAAATTGTATAACTTTTTGACACTAAAATCCCCGTTGTTCCCCCCGTCTCGGATGAAGTGACCATCTTAATTTACGTCAAGCAATCTAAAATAGGGCCGTAAATGTTTGTAAAATTTCGACCACATACTAAATATAATATTACTATTACTGGTGATGAAATCACTTAAAAACACAGTGAATGGAAACTTGATGCAGCATTATGAAATTTATTTCCCCGCAGAGGCCAAAAAATGAGTTTCATAAAAGAAAGTTTTATGGAAAGTGGGTCGTTCACCGTTGTTTTAAGATTTACAAGTCAATTCAGGATAAACATTTACATGAAAATATCTCCGAGGATATTACCATAACTAATTCAATGTCCCCGTGGCTCGTCGAAGTGACATTACCGCCAACTTTATTACCTTACTCGTTGTTTTTTACACTGCAAAAATTACATTATTGAATTACACAACAGTTTTTATATTGCATCCAATAAAAATAATTATTTTTATGCAAATTCACATTCTAAATGCAATAAACGTATTTCCCAGAAAAGAGATAAAACTTTATTTGTTTCCTTCAATAATTATATGTCGAAATTATACGTATAAAAATTCATTCTTAACATTTCAATACTACACCTATATTTAACAGGCATATGAAAACAAGCGAACTGTTCATTTTAAGCTCTAAATCCCTCAGAGGAGCGTTGATTCGATCCAAACATAAATAAACTATGTGTAATGGTTGAAAAATATTGATAAAGTCAGAAGGTTTATCAATGAGAGGTTTAAATAAATCCCGAGCATACTCAACACCGGCTCACAACAAGTCATTCTACCAAACTCAACCGAATACATCTGGGACCCTTTTCCCCGTATGCATCTCTTAACGGTGTATTTTGCGTTTTCCTCCCCCTCTAGCTTTTGTGATTTGAGTTTTCCTCGTTCGCGATCGGTTAAAATGGGAAGAGCTTTTCAAAGCTTTCACTTGTTGAAACCTGCTAGGTACAAATAACTGTTTTTCGTATCTTGCCTCTAGTAATATACGAGTCTATGATACGTTCTGTGTTAGAAATTATGGACAAAACATTTTTACTTCAATTTTTAAGCTAAGGATCAAAATAAATGTCAAGTTAATCAAATACATATAAAGTAGCAGGTAAACCTATTATTTGTCTGTGTGTCCGAATGATACTAGTGCCCACCTTCAAATGTAAAGTCTGCTGGTTCGATCCAAAGCCAAGCCAATTACGAACCCGAATACGATTCTCTCCTTGGATAATCTACCAATTAATAATCCCGGGCCATAAAAAGCGTAAAAAAACAAGCAATACGATTCTTTGCTATGACTCTAGATTAATAAAACTAGCCATTGTCAATTGAGACATCACGTAACTTATAATAGGAGTTATAAACAGGGTTTTTGAAAAACCAGAGTCTCACCAACTCTACAACAAAGGTACAATTACCAGGCCAGCGACAATCGCTGTACAATTATTGCGTTCGTTGTGTCCTTTGGCGGTCGGCTTTTACTGGAATGCCCTTTCATTGCCAGAAAATCCATTTTACGTTCTATTGTGAGTCTACAGATAACCATTCAGTTGAAAAAAGACGATAGTTATTTTTCTTGGTAAAGTGAAATACAATTTGGGAGTTTTTTACTTTTCCTGAGCATTGTGACCCTATTTACGATTTAGGTTCATTAAAATGTGACTAGTTATACACATTAATATTAAGTAATATTAATTTCATAGGAGCTTAAATATTTAAAATATATTAAATATCTAGAAAGCAATTTAAAGAATTTGTTTGAATCCACAGGTTAATGTATTAATAAATTAAATTTTCGTTAATGTTTGCTCAGATAGTCAACGGTCACATTCAATGTAAAATTAGGAATTTTATTCAAATACAAACAAAGAAAATAGTACCAAACAGATATCGTAGTTTTAACTTGTATAAAATAATCATTTTACATACTGAATATTATTATTAAATACACAAAATAGCAAATAGCAGTGTTATGCTGAAAAGTATAGAATAAACTAAAAATTTGAACGTCACAATACTTAAAACAAGTATTACCACAAATATAAACGCAATTCCAATACCCATGATCTAGAAAATTCGAACATGGAGGAAAACTCCAACAATAAGATGTACGGTGGCGTTCCACCACTACTCCGGGAAGATCCCGGCTTACAGGCGCTTTTGAAAGACTTACAAATCCGATTTTACAAAAGCTCCCAGGTACAAAAAGGCGGAGACACTTTGACTATTTGAAATGCAAATACAAGCCACGAGGGAGCCGGTCCGGGCAAAATACATTGTCATCGATCTCTTTCCACACTGTTTGTAATAAACTTTTGAAACGAAAAGTCACTAAACGTGTAGCATTTCAAAATCGGACACGGTAATAATGCTACATAAATATGCACGCAATTTTGTAAAACAATTAGAGGAAGCAGTCTTTTGTATTAGTTTCAATACGCTTTCGGGTTTACAAATCGAATTATGTAGTACAGATTAAGATGAAAGCTTATCAGGAGTGCTGTGAATTGCACGCCCATCAATGTATTATGGGGATTGATTAAATATACTCAGAGCTTTGTACTCTCTTTTCGTAAAACTGACGGATGCATTGCACGACGTCCAAGTGCCACGACGTCCAATAATATTTATTCAGTGCCACGACGTCCAAAACATAATTTTTGAGTTGTTGCACGACGTCCAAGTGCCACGACGTCCAAAAGTACAGTAACTGCCAAAAATATAGTCTTTCTACAAGCTTTGGACGTCGTGGCACTTGGACGTCGTGAAACAGCGCACTATAGAATTGTAAAAAAGTAACATTTGCACGACATCCAAAGTCGCTGCCAGTTGCACGACGTCCAAGTGCCACGACGTCCAATAAATATTTGACTGTTGCACGACGTCCAATATAGCTCAGCGCTGTTGCACGACGTCCAAGCTCCTTCATGATGACCGGTTACGATGACCGGCTACTTGTAGAACACTGTGTAAAATGCTTATGGAGCGTTTATTAGTTATATATACATGGGTATATGTTCTTGTTCAGAAATATATATACTATGAATATTTGAACCATTTATTGAAACATCATAAAGTAAAAAAAAAACACAAAGAGAAAAAATAAACAAGGCAACAGTTGGAAAACTATAAGGTTTACATGGTTTGAAAAATGATGAAATTTTGTTACCAACCGATAAACTTCATTATGTTTGGAGTAAGCTTTCAAAATACTTATTTTTTCAAGACTACATGAATGTACATTGATCAACATGATCTTTGAAAACTATTTTTTATACCCTCATTTTAATTTTTACTCGTATAAAGAATAGAATGCCTTTTTCGAACTGTTTTTAGGCTTCAATTAAATGTTCTTATGTCGCAAATATGTTTATTCACTTAACATTGACTTAATTTTATTTCAATAAATTTTGTGTTTGTGTTTTCTACACCACTTATAAAATTGCAACCAATGAGAATATCATTTAAATAAGTTGTACACAGGGTTCTTTTGTTTCCCCAACTCTAAAATACAACGCACATGAATTGAAAATGTTATAGGTTTAATAGTACTGTAGCGAATCGAATATCAATAAAGTTAACGTATAACAATAAATTTACATATTCCTAGATTATAATTGAATGTGTTTACGAAGGAACACCACAACCTCAAAATTCAACATTACAGTATATTTACTCAAGATTTATTGTTTTCATATAGCACAGTTGATGTTGCCAACTAGCGTGGGAGCGGAAGTCTTGATAAAGGCTGGTTCTCGGAAAAGTACCTACCTAATAAACTTGTAGTTTGAATGAAACATTTTTTTTATTTTGTACAGGATTCATGGGATCCTCAGCATCAAGTACAAACTGCAAAATGTGTGTCGAAGGTCTGATTAGACCTTCCGAGATTTAGACCTTCAGCAACTGATCCGTTTTTTACCTTCCTTTTATTTATTCTTTTTCATGTTGTGCTTCATGTAACATACATAGACTAGAGGGCCGCTCATGCCCTTGACAAATAAATTAAAATTTTCGCACAAATACAAATCAATACCGTCTTTAGACAATAATTAAAAAATAAAATTTATAAACAAACCTACCACGGCATATTCTTGAACAAGTATGCCTACAAACCTACGATAAGCATGTTTGTTATTATTATACTTAACCTACAAATGCTATGACTTAGGGCATACCTGCTTTCCTAGATAAAACATGCGAACCAATTGCGAGCGCAACGTGAACTTAGAAAAAGACTAGGTACTGTAGTAAGAATTTACAACTGTGAATTTCTCAGAATTGATTGACAGTTCAGACGAACCTATGGCCACAGACTACGGAAACCTACAGTATTATTGTATTTACTGTATTTGTGTTATTGTGTTAAAATATAAATAATTTTTATAAATATAAGAATAAAAGAATTTTTGAGGTAAGAATATG